GAGTGCAGTACTAATTTTTGTAGTTTTAGTAGAGACGAGGTTTCACCACATTGGCCAGGCTAGTCTCCAACTCCTGACCTCGTGATCTGCCAGCCTTGGCCTCCCAAAGTGCTGGGATTACAGGCATGAACCACTGCGCCCGGCCTCTGTCTCCCTTCTTATTTTGCTCTTAAAGTAAATTCGTGAGCTTTAGTCCAGAGTATCTCCTACCTGAATGATTGCCAGTGTCTAGCCTGGTAATAGTGCAGAACTCTTTTTATTTTTTAATTGACGAAGCTCTGATCCATGGTAGCAAGGAAAGAGTTTATTGGGGCTAAATTAAGCAAAAGTAAGTTAATTAACCAATTAATTAATTTATTATTATTTTTTTTTGAGACAGAGTCTCACTCTTGTTGCACAGGCTGAAGTGCAGTGGCGTGATCTCGGCTCACTGCAACCTCCATCTCCCGGGTTCAGACGATTCTCCTGCCTCAGCCTCCCGAGTAGCTGTGATTACAGCCATGTGCCACCACGCCCGGTTAATTTTTTGCATTTTTAGTAGAGATGGGGCTTCTCCATGTTGGTCAGGCTGGTCTGGAACTCCAGACCCTCAGGTGATCCACCCGCTTCAGCCTCCCAAAGTGCTGGGATTACAGGTATGAGCCACTGCACCCGGCCCTAATTTCTTTTAAACACAAAATGAGGTCTGGACATGGTGGCTCATTCCTGTAACCCCAGCACATCAGGAGTCCGAGTGGGTGGAAAACTTGAGGTCAGAAGTTGGAGACCAGCCTGGCCAGCATGGCAAAACCCCATCTCTATCAAAAAATACAAAAATTAACCGGGCATGGTGGCAGACGCCTTTTGTCCCAGCTACTTGGGAGGCTGAGACATGAGAATTGCTTGAACCTGGGAGGCAGAGCTTGCAGTGAGCTGAGATCATGCCACTGCACTCCAGCCTGGGTAACAGAGCGAGACAGTCTCAAAAAAACAAACAAACAACAACAACAACAACAAAAATTGATATACTCCGTAGTGTGTTAGCTTCCTCAACCCTGGGAAGCTACTTAACTTCGTGGTTTCCTCATCTGTAAAATGAGAATAATAGTAACACCTCACTGAGTTGTTGTTTGGATAGAAGTGTAATATAATCTATGACATAATATAATGGAAACTTACACTAGCTCTGTGCAATTATTATTTACAAATCAGAAGTAATTTATTTAAATACAACAAATAAAATAATTCTATTTTAGTAAACAACTTAAAAGCATTCTTTGAGTATTATATTTCAGATGCATGTTTAGTCCAGTCACTAGGAGAGGAAATAGGGAGGGAGAGAAAAGAGAACATGAATTTGGGGGCTGGGGAAATGGAGACAGAGATTAGAATAACAGAAAGGGAAAGACACACCGAAGGACAGCAATAAACAGAGAGAGACAAAGAGACATAGAGGTACAAGGAGGTAGAGAGAAAGCGATCCTCAGAGAGAAAAACATGGGCAAAGATTCACAGGTACCCTATCACAGGTACCTATGCAGGGGCATCTACACGTGGCCATGCAGCGATTGGGAGAGTGAGAAGAGCTCTGAACTCGGGGACAGGGGACGTGGCTTCTAGTTTCTGCCCCTTGTCAGCTGTGCAACTCAAATTGGTGCTCAATTGCTAGCTTACATTTTCCTCGTTTGAAAAATGGTAGTAAGGGGATGGGGGAGTGGAGAGAATGGCCCATGTTCAAGTCGCCACCTTGTGGTGGTTTCAGATTTCTCCTTAAGGTTTCTCCTGCTTTCTCCTTCACCTCTTCCTCCTCCTCCTCCTCCTGCCACTATGCCCAGCTAATTTTTTTTGTCTTTTTAATAGAGGCAGAGTTTCACCATGTTGGCCAGGCTGGTCTTGAACTCCTGACCTCGTGAGTCGCCTGCCAAGGCCTCCCAAAGTGCTGGGATTACAGGTGTAAGTCACCGTGCCTGGCCCCATCTTTTCTTTTATAGCTTCTGGGTTTCCAGTCTTAGTTAAGAATCTGTCTCCTTAAAGTTTAACGGAGCGTAAATGTTACAACAAAATATATATCTTCCTGATCCCTAGGTTATACGTATAGCTTTCTGTATTATCTTTAAAGTTTTTTTTCTAATATATGTGATAAGGTCCCAGATTTATTTTCTTCCAAATAAGTAGTGCCAGTACCATCTATTAAGTAAGTCACTAATTAGTTCAATTACTTTTCCACTAAAACACTAAAGTTGTATACAAAATTCTTTTCTATTTCTGGATTCCATACTCTGGTTCTCCTGACCAATTTGACTATCCCTTTGTTAAGAATTTATTAATTCCACTGGTAGAGTGCACGTTAATTGGGTTTTAACTGTTCAATAAATATCTTTTTTATTTTTATTTTTATTTTGTTTTTTTTTTTTTTTTGAGACGGAGTCTGGCTCTGTCGTCCAAGCTGCAGTGCAGTGGCCAGATCTCAGCTCACTGCATCTCCACGCTCCCGGGTTCAAGTGATTTTCCTGCCTCAGCCTCCCGCGTAGCTGGGATTACAGGCGTGTGCCACCACACCCAGCTAATTTTTGTATTTTTAGTAGAGATGGGGTTTCACTATGTTGGCCAGGATGGTCTCCCTCTCTTAACCTCATGATCAGTCCACTTCGGCCTCCCAAAGTGCTGGGATTACAGGCATGAGCCACTGTGCCCAACTCAGTGAATATATCTTGAATATTCTTTCCATTTGGAGTTCCCCAAATTCATTCTCAGTCTCCCTCGCTGCTTGACACAGACATGGGTATGACCCAGCCTCTGAGAAACACTTAAGAAAGGAGCAAGGACAGGGTGTATGCCTGACAGAATCTAGTTTGGCAAGCATGGTGGAGTGGCATCCAACTATTCATTATCGTCAGCAGCAGTAGAGTGGAGGTGCTGGCGTTCAGTTCCAAGCATCCTCAGGAGCTGATGGGTGGATTGTTTTTGCTAGAGCAGTCTCGAAAATGGCTAGGTGTTATTCTTGCTTGCTCTCTCTCTTTTTTTTTTGAGATGGAGTCTTGCACTGTCTCCCAGGCTGGAGTGCAATGGCATGATCTCGGCTCACTGCGACCTCCACCTCCTGGGTTCAAGTGATTCTCCTGCCTCAGCTCCTGAGTAGCTGGGATTACAGGCATATGCCAGACACCTGGCTAATTTTTGTATTTTTAGTAGAGACGTGGTTTCACCATGTTGGCCAGGCTGATCTTGAACTCCTGACCTCAGGTGACCCACCTGCCTGGGCCTGCCAAAGTTCTGGGATTATGGGAGTGAATCACCACACTTGGTCTTAGGTGTTATTCTTGATGGTGAAAGGGCCTGGATCTCTGGTCCTTCTAGATTCCTTTTCAGCTTGAACTTGCCAGAGCAGATTCTGGGTTTTACAACAAAGAATACTTATTGATGCAAGCTGTTTTATATTTTATTCTAATATTTTATTCTTAAGACTAGCCCTCTGCTCCTTCCCACCACTGCCCACTATTTTTTCCTTATTTGATCTTTCTCAGATTATTTGAGACGAAGTCTCTCTCAGCCATCCAGGCTGGAGTGCAGTGGCACCACCTTGGCTCACTGCAATCATTGTCTCCCAGGTTCAAGCGGTTCTCCCGTCTCAGCCTCCCAAGTAGCTGGGATTACAGGCACCTGCCATTACGCCTGGCTAATTTTTGTATTTTAGTAGAGATGGGGTTATACTATGTTGGCCAGGCTGGTCTTGAACTCCTGACCTCAGGTGATCCTCCCGCCTTGGTCTCCCAAAGTGCTAGGATTGCAGGTGTGAGCCACCACACCTGGCCTAAATTATTTATTTTCATGATCTTTGAGGTATTTTTAAAAATTTCAGGCTGGGCACAGTGGCTTATGCCTGTTAATCTCAGCAGTTTGTGAGGCCAAGGTGGGTGGATTGCTTGAGCCCAGAAGTTTGGGACCAGCCTGGGCAACAAAGCAAGACCCTGTCTCTATAAAAAATAAAATTATCCAGGTGTGGTGGTGAGTGCTTGTAGTCCCAGCTACTCAGGAGGCTGAGGCAGGAGGATTGCTTGAGTCCAGGAGTTTGAGGCTGCAGTGAGCCATGATTGTGCCACTGTACTCCAGCCTGGTACACAGAGGAAGTTTCTGTCTTTTAAAAAAATGGGCTGGACCCAGTGGCTCATGCCTGTAATCCCAGCACTTTGGGAGGCAGAGGTGGGTGGATCACTTGAGGTCAGGAGTTTGAGACCAGCCTGGCCAACATGGTGAAACCCCATCTCTACTAAAAATACAAAAAATTACCCAAGTGTGGTGGCGTGCGCCTGTAATCCCAGCTACTCGGGAGGCTGAGGCAGGAAGAGCGCTTGAACCCGGGAGACAGACGTTGCAGTGAACTGAGATCATGCCACTGCACCCCAGCCTGAGCACCAGAGCAACAGAGAAAGACTTTGTCTAAAAAAAAAAAAAAAAAAAAAGAAATTACTGGTGATCTCACTATCCTGTCACTAATAGCTCTTGCTGTTTGCCAAAGACCTCCTTTAGTGTCTGTCAAGAGTCTCCAGCCCCACAACAAACCTCACAGGAACCCTCACTCTAAGTGCCTGTGGGGCACTTGCTGCTTTTCAGAGTGGGGCAAAGCTGTCTAGAGATGCCATCTGTCTTGTGATCTATCCCCCTTCCTCACGGAAAGGCTGCCATGTAGAGTTGTGCACTATACAGCATGGGGCACCATTCACATTCATAGTCATCGTGCCCGTGTGTACTTACTAAAACAACTTCCCAACATATCAGTGAAATGTCTTGAGGGAGGAGTGGCAATGAAGTTGCCATGAAACCTTTCTGAGATCAGGCTAGATGTTTCCTGGGACTGTAAGCCTCTGATGGTACCAAAAAGGACCTGTGCCAGGGGAGGCACTTGAGAACAGTAATTTTCACCCAAGCCTTTCCCCCTCTAATCCTGTTACAAGTCAAGCTGGTTCCCAATATCCCCTTGTAACACTCTGTTTCTTAAGTAATGTTCTATTTCTTGAGCAGAATGGTGTTTTCAGACGTGTTCATTTTATTATGCTTTAAAACTTAGGTACATGTTACATATATTCCTTTTAAATGCCTTGATACAAATAAAAAAGGAAAGCACATATGTACAAATAAGAATGCTACTATCATGGGATAACCTTGAACCTGCTTAAAGTTTTCTCAGGTAACTTATTCACAAACTTCAGTACTGTAACTATTAGCTGGCAAACATCTTACAACACACTATATACATGTCGTGATGCTAGGGTTAGAAATCATTGTCCTGTTAAGAGTACTTAGACCAGAACAATGGTAATGCCTTTTTCATGTTTTAAAAGATTATATACCAGGGTGATTCTCTTTCAACTTGTTATATAATCTGTACTTACAGTATGCGCAGGCAGGCTACTAAGCTTCTCTCAGCTGCTCTGTCTCTAGAATTTAAAGCAGTCATTGAGTGGCAGAAATTTCTTCTAAAATCTATTATATATAGACTGGGCACAGTGGGTCATGCCTGCAATCCCAGCATTTAGGAGGTGGGAGGACTGCCTGAGCCCAGGAATTGGAGACCAGCCTGGGCAACAGTGAGACCCTGTCTCTAGAAACAAAAACAAAAACAACCATCATATAGAAGTTGGAACATTATCAGCTGCTACACTAAGTAGCACTCAACAGCCTTCCAAATTTCTGCTCAGCCGGAAGAACACTTGACCTCAAAAATGCTTTGGTGCAGGAGATACACAATGTATGTCAACTCTGACAGACACTGTTAGAGGTGCCCATTATCCAATTCTCTTCTTCCTTAGTAACAGAATCCCAAAATATCAATTTGGCCCATGACAACCCAGACAGAGTACGATGTCCCATTCAGCCTCATGGCTAGTAGGACCAAGCAACTGTTTGAAATTTAAGTTTATGTATTGTGTGTAACTTCTAGGAAGTGTTCTTGGGGGTGGGGGTGGTAATGCCCTCTACTAGCTGGCTCAAATGCTGACAGGAAGTTTCTAGCTAGAACAGCTGTCTTCAAGTAAGAATTGAAAGCCACATGTTGGCCAGGTGCGGTGGCTCACACCTGTAATCCTAGCACTTTGGGAGGCCAAGGCAGGAGGGTCACTTAAGCCCAGGAGTTCAAGGCCAGCCTGGGCAACATAGCAATGACCTCATCTCTACAAAAAAAAAGAAAAAAAATTTTTAGCCAGGCATGGTGGTGTGTACCTGTAGTCCCAGGTACTCTGGAGGCTGAGGCTAAAGTGGGAGAATATAGCTTGAGTCCAGGAGTTCCAGGCTGAAGTGAGCTAGAACTGTGCCACTGCACTCCAGCCTGGGCAACAGAGTGAGACCCTATCTCATTAAAAGGAGAAAAACAAAACAAAACAAAACACAACACCACAGGTTGAGAATGGGGAGGAACAATATAAAAAACCTGGATCCCTGACCCTGCATAATGTCATATGGGCTCTGGATTGCCTTCCCAAACTTTTATATGAAAGAGAAACAATCTTTTTTTGTTTTTTAATTCTTTTTTTTTTTTTTGGTCGAGATCAGGGTCTCACTATATTGCTCAGGCTGGTTTCAAACTCCTGGGCTCAAGCAATCCTCCTGTGTCAGCCTCTCAAAGAGCTTAGATTACAGTCATGAGTCACCATGCCCAGCTGAGAGACAAACTTCTATCTTGTACAAGCAATTATTGTTTGGGGATACAGCCAAACCCATACATACAAACTAACGCATAATGCCAAGTTTTAATTTCCTTAACTGAAAGGCTGATGCAACTGATATATTGCACCTGGTGGAAGGCAGTTACATCTGCTAAAATGACATAAGATAGAAGTTGTTTTCTGTAGAGAACATTGTGTGTCACAAACAGTGACATTTTCTAAAGTGCTTAATTCAATATGACTTCCCAGTGGTAAAGCTTGCACCTATGGTTTTAGGAAAACAACAACAACAAAAAGTTTAGACTAGCTTAAGATGCAAAATGACTGACGAAGTCCCTTCCCACAAGAGAACTGTAACGAGCAATTTAAACAAATCAAAAACGGTTTGTTTTATTTACAATACTCAATGCATCTTACAAATAACATATTTGCATTCCCTAAGTCTTTTGGAAAGTTATTCCAGTTTGTGCAATGAGTTTACAGGAAAATCGTAAGATATCTAGTAGACATCTTAAACCTAAACTCTACATTTTGAAAGATATTTCACACTATATTAATAGAGGACTGTTTTTAATTAAGAAAAACTAAACTCTGTAGTTAAATATTGCCCTCCAGTATCTGTAATGCAAATATAAACCAGATTAGCCTATGAAATAAGACCATTAGATTTGGGTGAATCATTCTGACTTCCCCTCCCCAATAAAATGCATGCACAAAGTAAACATGGTAAATTACATCAATCACATTTTAATACTTTTTTTTTTTGGACTCTCTCAACTGGTGTTTTGCTCAATTGTGGGTGCAGATAGGTAGGATTCCAGTCTGGAGAAACCCCTAAACCACTACACCCTGCCTCAGAGTAGGGAAGAATTTTCAGTATGTATGTGGAGACAGGCTGGATTAGGGAGCCTTTTGAGTGGCTTCTCTAGGACACCTTGCTTGCTAACATGAGCAAGGTTCCCCTCCAGTCCTGATAAAGCCTGAAGAGGTTACTTATTTCCCTACTAGTTCTGGAAGCATTTTATTCATGCCGCCATAGAATAGGCTCTCTTCCCCTGCTCCTCCCTGAATCACCACCTAGATTTTAGTGCTTTCTGAGTTGATGATGTAAACTAGTTCCTGTTCAGGTGCCAGAAACTTTTTTTTTTTTTTTTTTTTTCTTCTTGAGACCGAGTCTCGCTGTCTTTTATGCTGGAGTGCAGTGGCGCGATCTCGGCTCACTGCAACCTCCACCACTGCCCTGGATTCAAGCGATTCTCTGCCTCAGCCTCCCGAGTAGGTGGGATTACAGGCACCGGCTACCATGCCCATCTAATTTTTGCATTTTTATTAGAGATGGGGTTTCACCATATTGGCCAGGCTAGTCTCAAACTCCTGACCTCAGGTGATCCACCTGCCTCGGCCTCCCAAAGTGTTAGGATTACAGGCGTGAACCACTGCGCCTGGCCCAGAAACAGTTTTTATGTCACATAAAGATCTATGAAACAAGGTAAAGGGTAATTAAAATACTTTGTGACAGAGTTTGCACCTCATGCATGTGAAAGAGAATGTAATTAATTTTATCGTTTATATAGCTGCCGTCTTTTTTTTTTTTTGAGACGGAGTGTTGCTCTGTTGCCCAGGCTGGAGTGCAGTGGGGCACGATCTTGGCTTTGCAACCTCCGCCTCCTGGGTTCAAATGATTCTCTGCCTTAGCCTCCTGAATAGCTGGGATTACAGGGGCCCACCACCATGCCCAGCTAATTTTTTTTGTATTTTTAGTAGAGATGGGGTTTCACCCTCTTGGCCAGGCTAGTCTTGAACTCCTGACCTCGTGATCCACCTGCCTTGGCCTCCCAAAGTGCTGGGACTACAGACGTGAGCCATTGCACCCAGTCAGCTGCCATCTCTTAAAACAAAACCCAAGTCCTAGCTCTTGAGCCAGAAAGAATTCATAGAGGTATCTCTATACTGGATCCACCTCAACTTAGCAGTGCATCTCTGCATCTCCACAACACCTTTCTCCTCAAAACATCTGGTGTCTTTAACATCTGGCATAGGTGGTAGAATGGGGAGATACTAGGCTGAAAAAATAAAGTCCAATGTTTGACATAGCCAACAGAATTTTAAGATAAAGAAATGGTGAGGTAGAGTTGAGAGAGTTCAATTAAATTGTTGAGCATAGACCATTTGGCACATTCTAAAATTAGATTCCCTATCAAATTCTCCTTTGTGGTACCTTTACAAAGTGCTGACACCTTCGGAATCCTCCAACACCTATGTAAAGCTAACAGAATAAAGTCATTTGAAGAAATCCATCCTTGGCACTTTAGCTATTACCTACCCCCATATTGAAGCAAATAAAAAACAGTGCTATCCATTTGCTGAATTTATTTAAACAAGTCAATTTAGAAATACCATAGAATTAAACAAAACTTCTGACATGTAAACATACTGCCATGTTCCTGAAACAGATGTTAACACCTGATAAAAGTTAATAATCTCTTGTTAGGAAAGCTGTCCATTAATAAGGCCAGTCTTCAGCAAAACTAAAACCATTTTGTTTGTTTAGCTTTCCTAGTCTGACAATGCAATACTATTGAACCACAATCAAATATAATGACAACATTGGATGGATAGATCAGTACCATTGGTTACAGCTGTTAAACAGGTTCATTCTTGGCGCCACATAAAAACAATTAAGCCAATCACATCGAATAAATCATGGCTTGTTTTTCTTTATCACAATTCACTAAGTGATGTTAATTATGGTCCTTGTCAAACACGTTTGGTAAAGGCTATTTACAGTGTACATGGCTGAGCATGCACTATTTATAGTTACAAAGATACCTGCCAGTTTATTACAATAGAATTACACAGTGCCTGAAAATGGTGAAACATCTCACGCATCATTTAAATCAATATAATTTCAAGCAGGAAACGTTCCTTATTTGACCACAATTGCAATAATTACATGAAAATTCTTATAAAAACATGAATCCCCTTCAAGAAATTGATGCATATTCTACGCACTACAGGTTAAGGCAGTAAAAAAATGTATTCCTGATAACTGGAGGTCTTGACAATGTCAATTAAAGCTGTCTGACTCTAGTTTTTCATTCTCCATCATATACCAAAAGTTTGTGAATGATTTCATTTTTAAAGTCAAAAAAGTATTAGTAACTAAGAAGTGTTGAAGCTGGAAAAAAGTAATTGCTAGGGAAAGGAAAAATGTAAATTGGATTTTGCCTGAAAGTTTTCAAATCATAAACAATAGCATTATTTATGAGTCTAAGCCTTAAATGTATAAAACAAATACATATAGTTCACTTTTCTTAATTTAAAATATACTGTACTTTGAACAATTCAAGTAATGTAAGACTATCAAAAATAACTTCATAAGCCATACAAGTGTCAACTGCATTTTCGGTATTTTAAGAACTTTTAAAAATTGTAAACTAAACCATGACAGTTTAGTTAAACAAATGATAAATGACTTTTTATTTGCACTTGTGATTTCTTTAATACAAATTGCTACCAACAAATATGTAAAGATATGGCAGGTTATGTATTTGATCAAAGCACTTTGATTTAAGCATAAAACAGATTCAAATGGTACAAGTTCTGTGCATAAGATCCAAGGAATTGCTTACTAATTTGTAGGCAACCCTCTTTCTAATCAGAATCCTTTATTCCTCGGCTGCAGATGAGATAGGGCACAATCTGTTGTAAACAGGGCACTGCTGTAAAACCAAGATAATATTCTTAAATTAAGATCGTTCTTGTTCAATTAAAAAGACTTTCCCAAGTGTCTTCCATCACTGAGTATATTCTGCTGACCTCTTAATTTCATAAATTAACTTTCTTTTGATTCCATTTTTATGGTGGTTGTGTCCGCAGTTTTGTTTTAAAAATTGGTTTAAATTTATATAAAACTCTGTACATGTTCACAAATTATTGCATAAACAGCATAATCTTCAAGACAGTGTTTGCAAACACATGTCCAATTCAGGAAAAAAAATTTCACGTTTCTCGTCTGGCTTTTTTCTTCTTTTTTATTTGTTTGGGAGATTCCCAGTTAGTTTCAGACTTGGCTAAAAAGAAAAAGGGGGGAAAATGAAGAAAAAAATTAGGAGGATAGTAAATAGTGTTACATCTCAATAATATAAAAGTAGTAACTATGAAAATCTTTTAAAATACTCAAATTTTATGTTTAAGTTTTCAAGCCCTTATTATATATTTTAAGTTATTCTATGTCTTCCTCCCTCCTTTCTTTTCAATGGTATTATTAGGTTGAACAATATGGAACTGCTGATATTCAACCAGTTTTGACCTAAAAAAACTGTTATTTAATACAGCTCAACCTAACTAATAAAAGAGTAAAATGGGTAAAATGGATACTAAAGGTAGCTGAAGAGAGTAAAGGAGGAAAAAAAGCATAGAATAATTTGTAGCCTCAAGAACATGTGCAGAGAAAAAGGGAGAGGGACCAGATAGACAAGCAGGCAGGCACGAAAGTTCTCCCTCTCTGTTCTCAACAATGTATTCTCTCCTTCAGAGGCAGATAGATAGATAGATAGGTTGATCATTTATTTATTTATTGAGTCTCGCTCTGTCACCCAGGCTGGAGTGCAATGGTGCAATCTTGGCTCACTACAACCTCTGCCTCCTGGGTTCAAGCGATTCTCCTGCCTCAGCCTCCCCAGTAGCTGGGATAACAGATGTGCGGCCAGTACACCCAGCTAATTTTTGTATTTTTAGTAGAGACTTGGTTTCACCATGTTGGCTAGGCTGGTCTTGAACTTCTGACCTCAAATGATCCGCCCGCCTTGGCCTCCCAAAGTGCCGGGATTACAGGTGTGAACCACAGCACACAGCCTCCTTCAGTTATTTTAACAGCTTGGCCTTCACAACTTAAGTACACAAACGTCCAAAAAATTTAGCATTTTCAAAGGAAGAATGGGCTACTTTTATTAATCCATTAGACTTTTAAGATCAGAATCTTAACACATGAAAAATGTAAACAGTATAAAGGAACAAAAAATGAGGATTACTTACTCTGTGAAGGAGGCACACTATTTTGCTTGGTATTTGACTTGGATTTATCTGTCTCTTGTAGAGTTGGCGGCACTTGGGAGGAGCTCTTGTCAGAATCACTTTTTGATAAGATAACAGATGGCTCGGTAGAAGTAGCAGGTGGAAGAGTCTTGACAGGCTATTTTAGGAAAAAATCACCTCAGGTTTTTTGGTGAAATTTTCAAATAAAGTTTAAATATCACAGTAATACTAAGAGGTTGTTTAGCAGCAATTCAATACTAATATGTTTTCCAGATAAGCAATGTAACTCATACCTGCCCTCTAGTGATACGGCCAAATCAATCATCACCCACGACATTTATGAATATATGTTGAGATAAAAATGAAGGTATGAAATTACAAAATGTCTACCGAATTTCAAATAGAAATGAATAATTTCATTTTCATTAACTTTTTTTTGAGGTGGAGTCTCGCTCTGTCGCCCAGGCTGGAGTGCAGTGGCACAATCCAGGCTCACTGCAACCTCTGCCTCCCAGGTTCAAGCAATTCTCCTGCCACAGCCTCCCGAGTAGCTGGGACTACAGATGCCCGCCACCATACCCAGCTAACTTTTTTTTTTGATTTTTAGTAGAGACAAGGTTTTACCGTGTTAGCCAGGATGGTCTCGATCTCCTGACTTCGTGATCCGCCTGCCTCAGCCTCCCAAAGTGCTGGGATTATAGGTGTGAGCCACCACGCCTGGCCTAACTTTTATATTCTCATGTTTCATTATAAATAAGATGATTTTATACTTTTCTTTTTTGAGACACAGTATCGCTCTGTGGCCTAGCCTAGAGTGCAGAGGCACCAAACAGTTCACTGCAGCCTTGACCTCTGGGTTCAAGTGATCCTCCCACTTCAACCTCCGGAGTAGCTGGGATTATAGGTGTGAACCACTGAGACTGGCTGATTTTATACTTGTTGGTGATTCAATGCTTGTTGTCCATTTCCACCAACTCAGAATGCTTCAAAAATTTTTGTGAAAAACAGAAGGAAAATAGCTAACTTCTGAACTACCAGTAGATGACAACCCCTAATCTCCTTCCCAACAGGTAAGAATTTCTCAAATAGCAGCAGCAACAGCTTCTGTTTCCTACGAGCACACTGTGGTTACTGGTCCTACTGATTCAAGCAACTGGTAACACTCAGGTCCAAATTTTCAGTGTTTTATCCAGTCTGGTAGTGAAATTAGAATGCTTAAGGCAGAGCCTAGATTCTTGAGCCTTACTTCTCTACAGCCTGGAAGCAGAAAAGAGGTAAACTAACTTATTTGCCTCACTGAGGCATATCCATTAATAAATGATCAGGACCTGGTAATGATAAAAACGTCAGTAATCTGGAGTGCCTTCAGGATGTGAGAGATGAGAAGATTATTTCACCTATTAGCTCTATCTGTGATCATTATCCCGAACATAGAAAGAAGGGTAAGTAATGCTTCTCTAGACCCTATTCTTCCAGGCCCCATAGATTCGCGAAAGCAAAATGGGATAAGGATACAAGAGGAAATGGTGTGAGCCCAAGTAATTACTAGGATTCTTTCTTCCTATTCCAGGTATCTGAAGTTGTATTTGTGTGTGTGTGTGTGTGTGTGTGTGTGTGAGAGAGACAGGATCTCACTCTGTCACCGAGGCTGGAGTGCAGTGGCGTGATCTTCATTCCCTGCAACCTCTGCCTCCTGGGCTCACAAGATCCTCCCATCTTGGTCCCCCAAGTACCTGGGACCACAGGTGCACACCACCACATCCGGCAATTTTTTTGTATTTCTGGTAGAGAGGGGGGTTTCACCATGTTGCCCAGGCTGGTCTCGAACTTCTGAGTGCAAATGATCTACCCATCCGGACCTCCCAAAGTGCTGGGATTACAAGGCATGAGCCACCGTGGCTGGCCCTGAAGTTGTATTTATGTTGCCTAGTCTCTTTACCTTTCTTAGTGTTTCCTGTATTTATTTCATATCCAGAAGTTTTATTATTACTTATTTTTAATCTCCTTTTCCCCTCTATTCTCACTTATCTACATTAAGTCACAGAACGGATCCAATATTCTTCATAAAATGGCTTCTGAAAATGATTTAATATAAAAATGTTGAACAGAGGCCAGGTGCGCTGGTTCATGCCTGTAATCCCAGCACTTTGGGAGGCTGAGGCAGGCAGATCACTTGAGGTCAGGAGTTCGAGACCAGCCTGGCCAACATGGTGA